TAGTCTAATGAGCACAGGTGTTACTGAATATTCATGATTATGCATGAGTTTGTTGCTTAGCAACCACGTCATTTCCGGTTTTATGTTTTGTTGAGGGCGTCATCGAAAGAATTGCTAGTTTAATAATTGAAGTAGTACATATTGATGAAGCAATTCTTCATTTTTGGTTTAAGCTTATAATATGGATATTTTAGCTATTGAATTTATTACAGTAAACACAGACATTAAAAAGATGAGAAGAGATGCACAATTCCATTTTATATTTATTTTCAAGCACTGAAATCAAGCTGGGACATATGTATACATTTTATATTTATATACTGTAGGTCTATATCATGTACATCCTGCAAAAAACAATAAATCTGATTTTAATTCTCAAAATGTTATATCTTATTATCTTACATGTCTATATTTTTTTTACAGCAAACGGATTACTTTCTCTATTAATAAGTTAAACATTAATAAGTAGGAGTAATAATACAATATTAATAAACATACAGCCTACATATTGCTAACATTATTTTTGAGATTTTGCAGAGGAAAACATTTAAAAAATAAAATTCACACTATATTTTAATTAATTTTATATCCAGAAGCTTGATGAGTGACACAATTTATGGCTATCTATGAATAATTGGTAAGTTCTGTTGCCCTTTCAGTCCGGACATTCTTTCCTGATAGTTGTGGCTTCTTTGTCTACATTGCTGGAATAGAAAAATATTGAGAAAAGATTAAGAAACAGAGAAAGAATTATGATGGAGTATCATTAAAACATAATATATAAATAAAAACCGTGGCAGATCCAGGAGTTTGAAATAGAGGGGGCCCACAGAGAGAGTGCCAAATGAAGGGTTCTCAGCCCCACCATGGTTGGGGCGGAGGTAAGAAACTTTTCGATTATGGCACCGCTAAATGGTCAGAAATGGCACTCTCAGATTTTAAATTTGAATGTAATTTAATTTTTTTTTCTCCAATTTTGTACCATTTTAAAAGATTTAGGGTCCCCCCACCACCCTTGAATCCGCCACTGAAAAATTAGTGAGCACCCCAACCTTAACATTATTGTATTCAGTTATTGCAATGGACAATGCAGCTGATACAACATAATAGTACTTCACAATCTTTATCATATCAGCATTATCACATTAAATATTAATTATTTATAGTAATTATTTATAGTATCATCATATTATGGAATGATGTGAAGATTATTAAATACATGGTATCGGGTACGACTAGTAGATCGCCAGAGCGCAAACAAATTATGTTAACATTTGGATTGTCATTGGTAAATAAAATTTATAAAAAGTGTACTATTCCATAGAAATGAATATATAGATTCATAAATACAGTATATTCAAACAATAAACATAATACTATAACTATATCTTCATACAAACATTTTTCATGATATAATATTTTTTGAATGATTGATTGAATTTATTCAATGCTCAACATGCACAAGCAAAATAACAAATGGATTGATATCAAGAAAAGTAGAAATTACCGAGCATCAGGAACGCCCATTAGGCCGGAGTCCAGCCCATTTCCAATGAGGTCCAATTTAAATATACGCTTGTCTGTCATAAGCTGCAAGATAAACAAAGTATTTCACATTTAGACTTTCTTTTAGAGGGGCGTCATGAGCGTTTCCTGTTTAACAGATACCGGCGCTTTATTTATATTATCACTATTATCATTCTTATTCTTATTTATATTTATTATTATTTATTATTATTATTAGGCTTATTATTAGTTTAGGCCTTTTATTATTACTATCATTAGGCCTATTATTATTATTATTATTATTATAGGCCTATATAAAATGCTCAACTGCTCTGTATATTTGAAAAGGGGAAGTGTGCAACGGGCCACCACCCAAATTATTCAAAAATGGAGTAAAAAATGAAAATTGTATTCATATTTAAATCGTTTCCGGCCATCTAGAGCATGTACCATAGAGGTGACATAATCATAAATCCATATGTGAAAGTCCCCCTGGATCCCCTCTTAGAGGGCCTCTATTTCGAATTTCTGGATCCGTCACTACAAGTAGCCTTATTTGATATCATGGAAGTACACATCCATGAAGATATTAATACAGTATTGATAAAGACGGTGTCGTTTGGGCCCCAGCTCGATTACTTTCGCTGTCCTTTAAAAATAATTAGAAAATATTTTTGTCGGGCTATATAACAAATTTCGATTATTCAAGTTTAAAAGTTGTGTACCAGATAATTATAGAATCTTGGTAATAAATTGCACATAAAATATTAAATGTCAACGAAAAAAAAACAAAAAAAACAAAAAAACAACAATCTACAATGTAAACAACGAACGAAAGTTAACAAGCCCCATGCTGTAATTACTGTAAATAACGTTTCTTTAGCCAGTTTCAGTTAACTTGTGGTTTTTTTAGCGAGTCACTTGGAATGTAGGCCTAGGCCTATATGTTGTTGAATAAAATGCAGCCATGTCAGTGCATGCTTCTGTTTAGGAAATTGTCAATGCCTTCAATGCGGCTGCCTAACAAACTTAGTAAAAACAATAACCATAAAATGATGACAAAATTCCCATTTAACTAGTGAATTAACGATGCAGAATGTTCAATACTGTAGTACTCACATTTGTTATTAATTGTAAAGTCTCCTTTCTAGTCCATTGAGTAATAAATTTAATGTTTACATGTAGAACGCCACCTGGAGTGGTATAAAAACAATTCATTACAGTATTATTTTTCTAAAATGCGCCATTCCTTTATAACGATGAGGGTGATGATGATAAAATAATAATAATAATAATAATAATAATAATAATAATAATCTTCTGTTGAATTACCTTGATTACAGTATGTAGCTGTTTGTTATTCTTTAAAACATAAGGTTTTGAATCTTCACAGCAAAGATACACCGACAATTACAATTAACTTAATGTCAATTAAGTTGATTCATCGATACAAAATCAATTGAATCTTTCAATAACTAGTAAACGTACGCTACCGATGATAAAAAATAATTAACGTGTGACCTTTATTAAAACATGATCGCTGCCCTCTGTAATTACCGATTACTGTATTTAAAATTTTCATCCTGTACGTGTTCCTCAAAGCAATAAAAAATATAATAAGATAAGAAAAAATATAGCAAAACGAGCTTTCACCCTGGCCAGGAATCGGCGCCCTAGTCATTCCTCCCCGACTATCCCTATCCATTCCATGCAAGGTTATGCACCAAGCAAGACCATTAACTATAGGGTTCACTAACTCGGTCCCAATTTGAAACAACTGAACAGAGGGAGGAAAGCACCGCGACCCCTAAGCCATAAATGCGGAGAACCTAGCACTATCAAGTACCTGTCAGTCGAATCTTGAGACTACCTAACTCCGAACTTGCCGTGTTTACTGTGGGCCACCGCTGTAAAGTGGATTAATGATTGAATTCCGCCGTGGGCTCGATACACTTTTTTTTAAATAAAAATTTTGGACAGGCTCAGTGTTCTTATTTTTGACCGATCCAGGCTCAAAATGTACTTAGCCAAGTAGGCCTAGGTCTATTTGGTCTTATTTTTACAAAATTTTTCAAACATGGAAACTTTACAAATTTGTATTAATTAACTGCGTTATAGCGGGTATTACATAGTCACACCCGCTGCAAATATGGAACAGCAGCTTTTCATTTTTTTAAATATAAAAACCTCATCATTTGACATTTTTACCTCAGCCTCAATTTGCTCTTACTTTTTCTGAATTTTTAAGCAATTTCAGCCTCCCCTAACCACCGTGGCATGCTCTGTAACTTGGTTGTCTTTAATTATCAATCTTTGGCAGCACTTTTTATATTCCATGAGGATGAACTAAGTGAGGAGGCAAAACAAAACACACCCAAAAAAAAAACATATTACTATAAATGCTCATATTTAAACCGCAAATCTTCATAAGCGCTGCACCAAACCGATTTTTTTTTTTGCTAAGCGCCATTCTCAAATAAGGGTTGTGTGCTTAATCGAAAGTATATACTACACTGTGTGTAATGAAACAGGGTTTTAAGTAAAATGTATAAAGTGTTAAAATGGATACAATGAAGACACAAACATTTCTTTATATTATAAATATTTATTTACAATGATGCAGGACCTAAAATAAAACTGCTGGACTACAGGAATGCCCAAGATACCTGTACACAAAGTTTATAAGTGCTGTGGTGCTTATTCGAGCATTTACAGTATTTTGTCTAGCACCCAGTAATTGGATATACTGCTTGAATATTAAGTAAACAACAATAATATTAATAGTTAATTTGAAGGCCTAGCAATCATGTATTGCTTGCACGAAGAAAAGTTCAGATACATTTTTCTCACAAATTGACAATAATATTTTTTTATTCAAATAGGATAACAATCTGGATGAAATCTAGGACAGGAGGAACAATAAAACAGATGAAGTTTAATAACAAGTCGTCAAAAGTGTCAGAATAATCTGGATGGATTTTGAAGGAAGACCGGTCAACGTTAAAGTTGGACATTTGCCCAACAAAAGTGTAATAATTCAGACATTTACAAGACAGACTTGGATTTTCAGTTACTATATTGCTGGAGACAAGATTACAGTTAAGGATGAAGACCACTTGAAAGAAGCTTTAAAATGCAGAGGCAATGATCAAGTGGAAGTCCATTCCAGTAGACATAAAAAAGATGCATGCAAGTCATAGGACAGAACCAATGATACATTGATCAACTACCGAAATCATTACAAGATGAAGTATTAAACATCACAAATCTCATTTTTTATTACAACATTTTATACATTTTGCCCAGGCTTAGTTCTTATTTTCTTGTCAATTTCAGGCTTAAAATATTCTTATTTTGTCCTTAGTTTTTATGCAACTTCAGCCTCAGTGTTCTTATAAAATGTTTTCTTATAAAATAAGTAAATGTGAAAACTTTTAATATTGTCTCTGAAAATGTGGGTAGTAATGTCCTAAATGTCTGAATTATTGTACTCTCTTGGGGGTGGGGGGGGGGTTTGGCAAAAGCCCATATTTAGTGTCAAGGAAAACTTTTTGATTTGTCAATTTGTAAGAAAGATTTATCTAAATTTGGTTAGGCAAGACTTTTTGTACACCTTGTCTGCAAATATTTATTTTTTTTTAATTAAAAAAAAAGAATTTGTCAAAGCTAAGAAAGTAGATGTACGGTAGTTATATAGTGATAGTTTGCTGTGAATTATGTTTTCTGTTTTTGGTTGAAATTCAAATTTTGCTTCATGTGTATTCAAATGCAATGATGAGACACTACTTCAAAACATGGTAACTTACTTCAATATTGTTACATAACAGTTATATAAAGTTTACATGCAATGATTACTTAAGAGTGGGATTTTGTAAGATCTCCTTGAGGTGTTTATTTTTGCATAGAGGGCATTATCTTAATGTGTCTGATAAATTTATTAATTTCTTGATTGATTGATTCAGGACCTATGGATTGTGAGCAGTGGTGGCGCCAGTGGGGGCAGGGAAGCATTTCTCTCACCCCCCCCCCGACCCCCTGTCGTCCGATAAACGACTAGGTCGTCGGACCGAAAATTAATCAAAACAATAATTTGCCTATCCAAATAACGCTTTTTTTTTGTGGTCTAAAAGCATCAAATCAAGCCATTAAACTCTCCCCATGGACCCTAACAGTTATTTTTTATTCCGGGCAGTCGACTAAGGCTTCGTAGTCGCCTTGGTCTGGGCCCCTCCGTCAGCAAATTTCTGCCGCAACCGCTGATTGTGAGCTCAACCTGGTTTCCTTAAAATCGCTACACTGTCGCTACAATGTTTTCGGTGTGTACTACATAGCGGTCCCGGACGCAATCATGAAGGCTCCCTGAACTGATCAACCAATCAGCATCGCTGAAAGCTGTCAGCCAAAGCGTGTAGTGAATGTATGGAAACCAAGCTTAAGAACTCCTCTAAAATAATATTAAATCAAAAGCCTTCTTATAAACCATTAGATACCAAAATATTAACCATTAGAAGTTAATTTACTTAATCAATTAAATGTATATATTGTACAGAATGATAAGATAAACTGAGAAGGCAGGCTAATTAATATACATTTTTCATGTTTTATAAATTATGCTATTGAAATTATTAGCCTATGTATGACAGTTATATATGTTCAAGAAATAAAAACTGATAAATGAAAATTGTCTGTTCATTTATTCATTCTTTATTATGTCTTTTATAAACATCGCAATACAATTTGTACATACAGTAAAATAAAAATAAGAATATAATCAAAACACTTAAATTGGGGAAGGGGATTGATGATTATGTAAGGGGAGGGGGTGTGGATCAAACTTACAAAATAATGTGATAAAAAAACAGATTCTAACATAGCATTTGAACATAAAAAATATCATGAATTCCATTCCTATATAGGCCTATGGAACGTAACAGAAGAGAAATCTGACGACTAAGAAAAAAATTCGGCCTTGCCGCAGGACTCAAACTCAGTACCGTACCCTTTTTGTTGACTTTCTCTTCTCTAGAAGCTGAAATCACCTCTAATGGCCGGCGGAAGCGGGGGGGGGTTGGGGGCCCGCCCCCCCCCCACTTTTTGGCGAAAAATATATAATGTTTGGAGATTTTTGTATGATCGGAAATGCAAAAAAAGGAGGGAAGAAGGAGGAGAAGGATGGGAAAGAGAATGTTTATCCAGTACCCGACCGAGTTACATTTTCTTGCAATTCATATTGGCGGATCTGGGGG